CCCTCTCTCTGCTGCCAGGCTCTTTACTCTGATCAGAATTGCCTTTAAGAATGCCCTCGGCCATCCACTCATTTCCAGTTGCAGGAGGCAAAGCCAAAGAAGAAGAAGATCTGCCCAGCAGATGAAAATGACAGTGGAATTGAGGTGTATTACCGTGAGGAGGAAGAGGATGACCAGGAGGAAGAGGCAGCTAAAAAGAAATCTACGGTGAGAAGTTTGGAGGAGAACATGATCCTGAAATGACCTTCTAGCCCTATTGATATGTGTCAAGTTTAACTTTATGTGTAAAGTTTAACTTTAAAAGTACAAGAAGTCAATAGTACTGAATGGAGAGATGCCACAAGCAAAGAGCAGTTGTCTGATCCCAGTTAAAAAACTTGAAATTAAAACCCAGGGCATTTTCTGTCTTCCTCCAAACAGGTAAGGAAGCCTGGTGAAGCTCCCAGGCTGCAAGTCTCCGTGGGCTTCACATGGGATGAAGACAATGCAATGGATATACCTGTGCTGGATCAGAAGGAAGAGAGCTCAGAGAGCGAGGAGGAGGAGGAGGATGTGCAGTCCAAGGTACTGTGTAATTGTATTGTCTGCACAGGAGACACCACACAGTGGCTGTAATGTGATGTTTTGGTATTTGCATGTCTGTCTGCCCTGTAGCAAGGCCGTTTAACAGAAGGGAACGTCTTTGGCAGCTGACACAGAATTTGTTCAGTTATTTTGATCACTGACTTCAGTAGCAAGTACCTCTGAAGCAGAGGAGAAAAGGCCCAATTTTAGCATGGCTGCATGAAAAACAGGTTTTCTCATGTTGACATATTAAATAAATAAGTATTTAGAGTCAAACAAATGTTTTCATGAACACAAAACTTTTTTTATTAAATGTCAGCTCTGTTTGTTACTTTCCTGAGTGTCATAAATGTACAGAACAACCTGGAGGTGAAAAACCTTTTAAGTTATAGTCTTCTTATTTAGCAAAACACCAAAAAACACCAAAAAAGAATCTTCTTTTATGCTATAACCTTTAGAAAGGTTTTCCCGTGAGAGCAATTCAGCAAAATCAGAAACAAGCTCATGAACTTCTTTTATGTTTGCTCTTCAGGATTTCCCCTGTCCCTCAAACTCACCTCTGTAAAGGCAATGCATGGCTGATGCTTTATTGCCCAAGCTAACAAGGCAGAGAACTATGGCACTGTGAGTTCCAAATTTAGCCCTGAGTCCCCCTAGTGATCCAGCAGCACACCCAGTTGTACATGGGGAGAAATTGTGTCAGATTTTTACAGAGTATAGGAAGGTGATAGTGAGTACTGGCCTGGGGAGTAAAGATGGAAGAATGAGAGGGAAGGACAAAGTGTGGATCCTGCAGCTGGTGTGCCAGACTAGCAAACTATTTGGTCCCTCAATGAATTTCATTTAAAAAAAGGAATTTCATGTAGTGCTGCTGCTCTTTGAGGTGTGAGCTGTGTAAGAGGGGTGGGGGGTGTTTATCATTTTTATCCTCTTTTAAACAGTTGGCCTCACCTCTTCCTGTGGAAACTGCTTAGCCTTGGACATACTGAAGTCTGGCTGTGCTTCAGCTGGACCTGCCTATTCCCCCATGAAATGCCTGCCCTTCCTCAGTCCTCCTGTTTTGCTCTTTCAGCTAAAGAAGCGAACAAAGAAGGAGAAGGAGCTGGAGAAGCAGAAGAAGGAGAAGGAGCTTTGCAAAGTGGAGGCGGCTCTCATGGACCCGAGCCGGCAGCCCCAGTCCGCCGATGACTTCGACCGCCTGGTGCTGGGCAGTCCCAACAGCTCCATCCTCTGGCTGCAGTACATGGCTTTCCACCTCCAGGCCACAGAGATTGAGAAGGCCAGAGCTGTGGCAGAGAGAGCACTTAAGACAATCAGTTTCAGGTAATAATGGAGCTCTGACTCTCTATGCCCCAAAGAATAAATCATGATGGGGTAGTTGTGGTGGAAGAACATTGATACGATCAGTATGAGTCTGTGTGTGGAGTGACAGAGTGCTTTAGTGAGCTCAGAAGGATTAAATGGTAGCAACTGTCAGCTGGCCCTTTGAAGGTCTGGCTTGAGTCACCACCACTGACCTGCTGCAGGTCATGAGCTCAGGAGCTCCTGAAGGTGTCACTGAGTGCACAGACATTCTTCTGGGCAGTCAGAAGTGTTTGGAAGAGCATAATGCTGCCAGTCCTTGAATCAAAACATGAAACAAATGGTGAAACTCCTGTTGTTTTTGCTGTAGGGCTGTACCTTAAATCATCTCTACTGCATGTTTAAGTATATTGTGATTTCTTGACTCAACCTTCTGGTTTTTAATTACAAACAACAATGATAAAGACTGTAGTGTGAATCAACTGCTGTGCTCTATTTCAAAAATGGTGTTTCAAGGAGCAGTGTGTCCTGTTTCTTGTCCTGGAGGCCTGCTAAAAGTCAGTCACTCTGTGTAGGTTAGTTTGCAGAAACCTGGTGAAGGCTGGTAAAAGGCTGAATATTCTTGTTTACATCTGCTTTAAGGGAAGAACAGGAGAAGCTGAATGTCTGGGTAGCTCTGCTGAACTTGGAGAACATGTATGGTACTGAGGAGACACTGATGAAGGTCTTTGAGAGGGCAGTTCAATACAATGAGCCTCTGAAAGTCTTCCAGCATCTGTGTGACATCTATGCCAGTTCTGAGAAGTACAAGGTAAGACAGTGCAAGCAGATCCCTGGCATGTATCCCATTCAGGCATGCCAGTAAACTGCAAATGCTGCCTGTGTAAGCTTCCAGCTGTCAGATGTTGGGCCTGTCCTGTTCTTAACTAGAATTAATGGTTGTGATTGAAAGTGGGCAAGGATGTATTGATGCTTGCTTTTATGTCATAAGTGTTCAGAGACACCCAGCCTAAGAATTAAAGTCTTAAACCTACAAAGCTTTGTTATGAATGTGTGATGTAACCCAGCTTTGTCCTTCCAGCAAGCAGAAGAATTGTACCACACCATGCTGAAGCGTTTTCGTCAGGAGAAATCCGTGTGGCTGAAATTTGCCTCTTTCCTCCTCAAGCAAGGCCAGGCTGAGGCTACACACAGGCTTCTGGAGCGTGCCCTCAAGGCTCTGCCCACCAAAGAACGTAAGCTCTCTGCCTCAGCCTTAGTGTGGACCTTATGTAGGCAGGGGCTGGGCTGCTCTGTGATATCTCTGCCTGTGACAGCATTTGTAGTGAGTGAAAAGTGCAGCCAGCTGACTCTCAGGGTGGGGAACTTTCAAGCTGGATGTCACTGCTAAATGCACCTCTGCTAAAGGCACCAAATAGAATTTGCTGCGATGCACAAAAACAAAGCACCCAAATCAAAGGCAGCTTTGAGTTTTACAGCCCTCTAGAAAAGTTCACTTGGTCTAAGCTCAGGTTTCTGGGACTGCCCATGGGTGCTGCATGATACATTATGAATATAAAAACAAACCTTCCTCTTCCACAGAGAGCTGAAATGGGAAGTGTACTGTGACCCTTCTGTGTCCCACTTTGATCCCACCTCAGTCCAGAACCTCTTTACAACAGAATCTTTTGTCTCTGGGTAGAGATGGTGCTGTCTGTGCCTGCCTCTGTTCTGTGTAATTCTCACTCCTGTTTGATCATGTGGAAGAGAGTTGCTGTGATACCCTAACATGTCATTACTTTTCCCAGATGTGGATGTCATTTCAAGGTTTGCACAGCTGGAATTCCATTCTGGGGACACAGAACATGCCAAGGCCCTCTTTGAGAGCACCCTCAGCAGCTATCCCAAGAGGACAGACATTTGGTCCATCTACATGGACATCATGATCAAGCATGGCAGCCAGAAGGAAATCCGGTGAGCTGTGGTGCAGCAGGCTGGGAAGGGGCAGAACACACCTGAAAAGAGCAGAGGTACCCTGCAGTGTGAGGTTGTATAGGGCTTCCCACAGCACAGCAAAAGGGATTTTTTTTTCCCAAAACTGGGATGTGTGGAAGTGCTTATTCTTGCTGGGACTGAGGAGACTCCAAAAAGTTCCGTAGGGCAGAGGGGAATTGTTTTGTAAGTTGTGGCCTGCATGACAGAAATAGAAGCCTTGCACTGAGGTTCACCTGTCCTTCTGCAGGGATTGCCTTATATCTGAAGGGTGAGATCAATCTTGAATAATCAATCTTTGTAACATAAAAATGGAAAAACATATTTTTTCCAATTCTTTTCCTGAGAGGTGAAAAAAAGGAAGTAATTTCCCACATCCACTTAATGAATCCATGGTCCAATGCAGTGTCTGGATCTTTTGTTTAAGTTGACCAGCAGCCCTAGTGTTCAGCAAGCAAGTAGAAGGCTTCTACTTTGAGATTTTGGCCAATTGTCAGGAATCTCTTTCTTCCAGCACCAGCACTTTGCAGCAATTTCCCCTGAATGTTTCCCCCCAGACTTTCTGCTCTTTGTTAAAAGACATGGTACAGGGCTTACATTGAGTGCTGTCACAAACATGATTTGAATCACTTTGGTTTCTTGCAGAGACATCTTTGAGAGGGTCATACACCTGAGCTTGGCACCAAAGAAGATGAAATTCTTCTTCAAACGCTACCTGGATTATGAGAAGAAATTTGGTACAGAAGAACGTGTCCTGGCTGTTAAAAGAGCAGCACTTGAGTATGTGGAGACCAAGAGTTCCCTTGCTGACACCTAAGTGTGGTGCAAGTGAAAGCAGAGAGACTTAGCTTTCCATGCAGTGTGGGAACTGAGGAGTGTGGAGTTCTGCTTTGACTGTCCATGCACAGTTTCTGGAGAATATTGGTCTGTGACCAAACCAGCTTGGAAAGAACAAACAAATGAAAAGATTTGATAAATGTTTGCAGCTTTGTCCAGAAGTTACAAATAATCCTGTTTATGACATGTTTTTAAATATAGACTGGTTTATAATCAAAAGAAACATCAGCCATACCTGTTTTACTTTCCTGGGGAAATGCTGCAGTAATGACACACTGCTTTTAAGCACAGTAATGTCTTACAATTTGATTTTTCTCACTGTTAAGATGGCAGAGAAGATTCCTGTCTTTTGGATGAATTAACACTTCCAAAGATGTATCTCAGGTGCCTTTGTGCTCTAGAAATTGGCAGAGCAACACTGGATGGTGGGCATAGCTGAAGCTGAAAGGAACCTCTTGATGATGATCTTCAAGCTCCTGCTCAAATCAGTGATCAGCAAGACTAGGTTGCTCAGGTTCACTTCCAGTTTGGTTTTGATTTCCTCAGGAATGGAGACTTCACAACCTCTCTGGGCAGCCATCTGTTGTAGCAAGTTGCTAGGGATTGATGACAGAAACAATAGTGATTTTCAGTAGTCACTTTCTCTTAAGAGAAATCACTGAGGTCAAAGAAAAAAGTGTTTTTTCTGTGCTGAAAAAAAACCATCCCAATGTAACCTGCTTGGAAAAAGCCAGGTGTTTTGGGTACTTGAAAAAGCTGTCACTGATGTCAGTGCCTTATGGTCCTTATCCTTACAATTCTGTATTCCTCTAACTTTCCACTGAGATGTGGATATGATCAGCCCAGTGTTTTACAGAGGCAGAACTTGAGGCAGGGGGAAACAGGGTAAGCAAACAGATGTGATTAGCCACTGTAGACCCTAGCTTTGAAATACCAAACTTGAAGAGTCTTCCTCATTGTAGGTACTCTAAACTCAAAATCAGAGCTTTGCAGGACCCAGCTCTTCTGCCTCTGTGAATGCCCAGTGCTGGCAAGGCTGGATGATTCAGCATCTATTTCATTCCCAAGTCCTTTGGGATCCAGAAACAAGTAATTTCACTTCTTGCCCCCAGGGAGAGCAGGGTGCTGTACTCAGATTTTGCTTAATGATCTTGTAGTGGAGGAGGCTGATTACAACATCCAGTAGCAACTGCTGCCTTTTTTAAAGAACACAGCTTCAGTGATGGTGACTCTTTCTTTTGCTTTAATTAGTTGCATAACAGAACATGTAAATAAGCGTTGCAATAGAAACCAAGATCCCTCTGAGGTATTGTTTCTTCTTCACTACCGGTGCTATTATACTGTCTGTAGTAGGCAGGAGAGGTGAAAGACCTGTGTGTAATTCTCTGTGCTGGAGGAGCCTGGTTTGAACCCATCTTGCTGCTGGGAGCCGTGACCTGTGGGCTGTTCTGTGATGGGATTATTGTTGGTCTTTGGAAGAGCAGCAGGGAATGTGTGAGCTCACAGCTTGTGTGATCCAGCATGCCAGGGAGATGGGTGGCTCAATTTCACTCTTGGCATTTCAGTGGAAAATCTAACCTGGCTGCTTGTGCTTGTGTGTAAAACCATCTGGGTTAATGCTCCTCACCTCAGCATTGTCAGTGGGGGACACTGGGTGACAGGAGCAGCAGGGATATATTCTTAAGGGTGCTGATGTGCCAGAAGAGACAGAAACCTGGGGCTGTCTCATTGGAGATCACACTCAGAAGGGTGGCAGAGAGGAGAAAAACCAAATCTCTGCAATTACAAACAAATTTCTGAGTGTAATGTCTTGCTCCACTCCTCACTGACAGCTGTCCACTCATGCATGCCTCCCCAACAAGAGGGAGGGAAAACAGGCAAGCTGGACAAGCCCCTAGCCCATCCCAGCCAATGGAAAGAGAGTGGATTTAATACAGGAGAGAAGGGATGCAACCAGAACAAAAGATGGTTTGTGCTCATGGTTTATTCTTAGGATGAAAATCCATTCTCAAGCATTACGTGTCTTTCCCCTTTCCTTCAAAGGAGGGAGGGGGAAAGAAGGAACCAGAGTGGAGGTGGTTCAAAGGAATAATTGGGACTATCAAGGAGGAAGGCAAGGGAAATAAAGGAAGTCAGAGGAACTCTGCTTTGTTTCAGCAAGTTACCTCGTGTCTGCTGGCTGTGTGGAGGTGGCGTGTGCATCTGCATGTTCGCACTCGAGGGCCAGCGAGAAGAAATGCAAATGAACTCTCTTTCATCTCAAGTTAATGCAATTTAATTTAACTTCCATCTGATTATTTCTGTGGATTAGTTGATGAAGCTGAGAGCCAAGCCTTCCCACAAATGCAAAGCAAATCTGTGGAGAGGCTGAACAGGGATCCTGGGATGCCTCGCCCATTAAGCGGTGTTCCAGCCTCTTTATGTGAGGGAGTAGCCTGCAGCTCTTTCTTGCAAGACACCATACTTGTCAAAAGCATTTTAAATAATTTTCTCTCCTTTGCTGCAATTGTGTATCCTGATATACAAGATTTCTGCTACTCAATGCAAGAATAACTAAAAAGCCATGTTACTAACTTGTAATATGTGATAATGCTTTGAAACATTCTCAGATGATCTGGATAGGAGAGGATCTGAATCTTTAATAGAAAGAAAAAAATAAGTTCCCAGTCCTTGAATTCAAAGAGAATGTTAAATTATGCCTTTTATACCCCCCTGAAGAAACTCAGAAGTCAATGAAAAATAACTCTCCTTTAATAATTTATTTAAAATCTTCTTGTGTGTACCCCTCTGAGTTTTGTGGGTTTGGGCTGTTTTTTGAACAACTTTAGTTTTTTTGGTAAACGACACAGTGTAAAAGGAAGTTGTATCTATAACAAAACAGTTCAAGTAGGAAAGCCAAACTTCTCTGTCATGCCAGCTCTTTACACAGTGTACACAGGATTGACCCTTGGGAGAAAAGGGACTGTGCAATGCCAGAGGAGCAGCCTTGAAGCCATAGTCACACAGTGTCATGGTGAGGGTAGTAATTTTACACCTTTCTGGTTTTGCTTTCCCAGAGTATGGCCAAGTCCATAAAAGAGATATTGTGCTTCAGGGGCCAATTAAGGCAGTGGAAAGAGTTTTAGAACATTCAGTGGTAGATGTGTAGGGAGAGGGCTGCTCCCCCCTTCTGTTCCTGCTGTCCCCTTGTTGCTCCAGGGCTGCAGTCCCAGTGCAGCAGATGGGTGAATGTAATGTGCTCTTTGGGCTGTCAGCTTTCTCACCCCCTTCCCCTCTGAGAAAGATGCTCCATTAATACAACAGACTAACTACAGTTATATGTTATATCCACTCTATGTATGTTTATACATACATTTATGTAAAGGTAATTCTGGTTGAGGTCATCCTGCAGCTTGTAACCCAAACAAAGGACTCTCATCTGATGGCTGGATGACAAATGCAGTGAGATGCAGACAGTACTGTGGGTACTGGTTCCTCTCAGTCTCCACCTTGCTGTTGCCCCAAAGCTGTTCTGCTGATGGTGCCTCCTCTGGGTTCATAAACTCATTGTGGTGACCATTTGGGCTCCTTAGAGATTGCCAAGCACTTTAGTAAGGACAAAGGGAATTTGGGTGTCTTACCCAAATTTCAAATTGGTAATTACAGAGTGCCTTTCTGAATACCAGGAATATTGGTGATTCCTTCTGCTTTAGTCTCTCAGTTATTTGGTGTGTGGCTATTACTGACCCATTCCTTCCCAGATGCTATTGCATCCTCCTTGCCTCAGGAATTTACCCACAGCTTCCTTCTTTTACCTGCACTGTGAAGTCTGTAAAGTGCTCTGGGACCTGCCTGTGTAACAGGCATCACACAAGTGTGCAAGAAGATATCAATGTCAATAAAACAAATAGGTATGGGATGGCTGGGGGGGAAGACAAGTGGGACTGCACGAGTCACAACGAGAAATGTGCCCATCTCTTGCTCCCCAAGGCTTCTGCTGGTGTGTCAGGCAGAGGGTGGCACTGGCAGCCTGGAGGTAAGGGCTGCATCTGCTCCTTGCTCCCCTGTGTCTCTGGGAGCAGCAGCGAGACTCTTGTCTCCGAGGGAGGGGTTCCCCAGCTCAGGGTATTGCTTATCAGTCTCTGCCTTGAGGCTGTTGATTCCTGTTTACCTGCTGATAGAAGTAATCCTGCCGGGAGGAATGTTCCCAGTGCATCCCTCAGCTGAGCACAGGTACTGGAAGGGCTGCCAGGCAGTCTGGGGAAGCGCTGCTGGTGCACTTCTGTCTTAGGAAGCTAAAAACAGCAGTTCATGGCCTTCTGGGGTTGGCCCGTTCCCTTCCACCCCTTTGGCCCACTTGTGGAGGCGGCTGTAGAGCGGGAAGCCCTTGTTCTCTCGGTAGATGTAGACACCTGTGATGGCATTCCACTGGGGGCTCGGCTGGACGCCCTCCACCGGGAACTCCTGCACCAGCTCCTTCTCCTCCTTGTCCAGTGCCACAAAGCCAAAGAATTGTTTCACGTTCTTGGCTGCCAGGATCCTGGAGTGGACCTCAGCCGTGCGTCGGAAGAGCTTGTCCTCGTTGGAGCGGTACTGGGCCCAGTAGGCCTCCTGCCGGTAGCTCAGCGGCGAGCAGCAGTGCTTCAGGCACTTGGTGAGGAAAATCAGCACCGCAACGATGCCGATGAGCAGCCAGCCGAAGAGCTGGGAGAGAAGAGAGAGGCTGCGTTAGGACACGGCAAGGCTGTCTTACCCACTCCCTGTGGCTTCTCCCTGCTGTGCCTACCTGGGACTCGTATCTCAGCCGCCGGGTCACCTCGTCCCTGAACTTGGTGAGGTTTGCCGGGACGTCTCTACAGGGGATCTTGGCCAGCACCTCGGCCCCGTACTCAGCTGGAAACTTGTCCAGGGAGGATGGCTTCACAAACTCGCTGAGGGCACAGATGTAAGCCTCCCCACGCAGCAGCGAGATGACCGACCAAGTGATGGGTGCCACGGATGCTCGGCCCATAATGGAGCCAAAGAGGAGGAAGGTGGCAGCAGCAGAGAAGTTCTTGGTGCCCCGCTTGTGGCACTCGGCCACCAGGTTCCAGGTGTGATTGTTCCAGATGACACCAATGAGGAAGAGGGCCAGGGCCGGGACACCAATGGCAGCCAGCCCATAGATGTAGTTGCGGGCAGGGGAGCAGGGGCAGTGGAAGGCGACGACTGAGAAGAGCTCCTCGCTCCCCACTGTGCCCAGGGCCACCAACCCATTGAAAATCATCACGTCTTTGCTCTTGAAGAACAAGGAGAGGAAGCGGAAGTTCTCAGCGATGAGGGCGGCCATCTCGTCCGGGGCCTGAGAGGTGTGTGCTGCAGTGGGGGCTGTGCTGGCTCAGCCCCCAGCTCTGAGGAACACTCCAGTGGGGGATGAAATGGCCTGGTGCTAGCTGAGGTGCAAGGAGCTGTTCCAGGAGCAAGACACCTTCACCGATGTCACTTCCTCCCACCTGGTGTCCCAGCCTGTGGAGCTGGCTGCTGATACAGGGATACTTCAAAAGGTATCCTAAGCAATATGTGAAACCTCAGCCCTTTTAGTTTCCCACTAAGCCCTCCAAAATCTTCACTACAGCAAAGATGACAGGTGGGACACACCTTTCTGTCTCTCTCAATTGCACGTTTGTCCTCTTTCCTTCTGTTTGGTCTTAGTCACCTCTCACAGAGGCAATTATTGTCAGCATCACTCGCAAACTCTCAATGATCACCCAAACCTGCAATGAAGGAGGACACCATGTTACTGGGAAAACTGGACCAGAGCACTGGCGCTGGGATGTGTCCCCAGCCCTGCAAGTGACTCACAGTAGCCCAGCCATATGTGGCACATGGGTGCTGGGCTTGTGCTGCTTTGAAGGTGTCCTGTGTGGCTTTTGCCTCCCTCTTTACAGCTGATGAGTTAATACTTATGAATAGATACAGGTATGTGAGGAAGGCAGCAAGGGGTGCTGTGAGACATCCCAGAAGATTTGGGAGCACAGAAATGCAGCATGGGAGGCCCAGGCAAGACCAGCCTTTGCTGAGAAGGGTGAAGGGATGCTTGGGGGCTGTTCATACCAGCAAGAGAAGTTGCTTTCTGGGAAAGCTTATCCTGATGTCCCAGGATACAAACAACAAATACTCATAGAGCTGGGACAACAATTGTGTGAGCTTTTGCTAGGACTGGGTGTGTCAGGATGATCTCCCATCCTGCAGCTGATTCACAAAATCGTACTTCCTGTCCTGGCCTGCAGGCCCTGCTCAGCTTCTTAATTGCTGCCCTGAGATTGAGCCCCTCAACCTGCAGCCTCAGTGCCAGAGATGCTCTTTGGTGCCCTTTGCCTGTGTTACACCCCACCGACAGGGCTGCAGGCACCTGGGGCCAAGCAGGGAAAATCATGCTCCCTGATTTTTTTAAGGGCAGGGAAATAACTGGGAATTGTATCCATGCTCTCTGCTGCAACATCCATTCTCCCATCCCATCTGCAAGCTGGATTCAATTAATTTCTTAGCTGACTTTCCATCAGTGCTGCATCTCCACAGGGTTTCTCCTCAGGAAGCCTCAAGCACCTTGCAAGCCCTGTGAACCTCACCCATGACAAAACCCTCTGGCCTCAGAGGAACTGCTGTCACCAGGGTTTGCTGGAGACAGGAAGGACCTGGGCACCCAACCAACCGCCTCTGGCAGCTTGCACAGTGCTGGAAGTACCAGCACACATCTGGGGCTGCCTGGGGGCCATGGCCCACAGACCTGCCCCAAAGTCTTACCTGAGCCACCCCAACTGCAGGGACAAGACTTCAGGGATAGTCAGGCAGAAGAGACAAAGATACTTTAATCCCTATGGTCTTATGCACAGGGCTTGCTCTTACACTGTGCTTTAAATCACTCCTCTGCCTCTGTTCATCTGCTGCCTCAACAAAACCTGTTTACTCCCTTTCTTCATGGAGCACGGGTGGGAAACAGGGGCAGAAATGTTGCCTCTGTTCTTTGCTGTGTCTAATCCCTGGCAATCCCTCTAAAGTCACGCTGTGATATTGCCGAGTTCAAATGTAAACAGCCCTTAATGTCTTCCTGCAGCTTCCCAGTTTTCCATATGCAAAACTCCCTCTGCAAAGGAGACAGACCAGCTGAAAACTGCCACCACGTGATGGGGAGCCAGGCCTCCATCTCCATGCTTGCCGGAGCTCCACGTTTTCAGCCAGATGCCAAGCCCACAAACTTGCTGGAGTTCAAGCATCTGTTGTTAGTTACCCACAAACAGCCCCGATAAACATGGCCCTGTAAACTTCCTGACAGAGCCTGGCAAATGGCAAAGCAAAAATCTGAGGAGCTGGCAAAGAGAAGTATTTGCCACTTAGAGGTTACCCTTCCTCTTCTTGGTAGTTAGGGTCTGAGACAGAGGGTTGGGTAGAAGGGGAGAAGTTGTAAGCAGGTAAAGGAAGAAGTTGCAGCAGCTAAGTTTTTAAGAGCCTCTGTTTCTTTCCCCAAAATAAAGCAAGAAAAAAATTAAGTCACTTACTTGGAAAAGTTGTTGAAACCAGTTCTGGAGCCTTCTCAGCCCTTCCTGTGTTTTTTTTCCTCAGGTTCTGGTTGTGGGGGGTTTCCAGCAGCACACAGGGCTGTGCAGGAGTTGGGATGCAGCCAAGGCTGGTCTGATGGTGAAGTGGAAGCTTTTGAAAGCAGCCTTAACAGTTTGCAAAGGCCTCCTTACTCAGTTTGAAACATGCTCTCTGCTGTTGGCTTTTGGGAAGAGGGAGGAGGTTGTTCTCAAGCTCTGAGCTTGGGTGGGGCAAAGAGCAGGCGCTTGGCTTCTGCTCTGTGCGCAGCTGAGGTTGTGCCTTTAAGAATAAAAAAAAAAGGAAATGAAAAAGCTGAGAGAATGAGTCACTGGAAAAAGCACATCGTGCTTTCTCAGACTCATGATGCAGATGTGCAGTGGCTGGCTGGGACGGCCGGGAGTTTGCCTGGAGAACAGCAGCGATGAGGCGCCTTGCAGGGGTGCAGAGGGGAAATGGGGAATCCCTCCTGCCTGGGGCTTGGGTGCAGCCCCCATCGTCCCCAGGGCATGCCGTGATGCTGATGGAGCCACGCCAAGCAGGCAGGGACAGCGCAGGAGAAGACCATGGTCCCAAGAAGGGACAGAATCTTCTGCTGTAGCACACGGGAGCCGGCTGAGCCAGTGGGAGGGCGCCTGCCTGGGTGGATTTTGGGGCGTCACAAGCTCTGTGGGGTGCCAGGTTCCGCTTTCCCCCAGGTGGGACAGAGCAGGCTAGGTGCTGAGCAGGGCCGGGGGCCGTGTGTGTAGGACTGGGCACAGCCTGATTTTTGGCGGGTGCGGTGCATTCCTGTCCAACTTTTCTGCTCTCTGTTTCCCCTGCTTGAGCGATGCCTGCGAGGCAGCCGAGAGCGCCTCTCTTTCTCTTTGCTCCCTCCTCTCCACCGTCTGTCCCTCAGCTCCAGCTCCTGCCCAGCCTGCTGCAGAGGCTGGGGGCCCCCATCCTCCTTCCCCACCCTCCTTGCCGTCTTGTCCCTGGGGTTAAACTCAGCCCTCCCCAGGGAATGCCTTCAGCACAGGCAAATCCTCAGCAACACCCACGTTCCCCTCCTCCCCGAGCAAATGTAGGCTCAGCCCAGCGCCGGCAGTTCAGCCGATGGGGTTTTTGGACCGTTTTCCTTCCTAGCCCAGACGTGGGGTCCCCGGGCGGGTTTTTGCAGCTCCCGGTTGTTTGGGCGCGGTGCATCCCTCGGCACTCCCACACCCTGGGTGCTCGCCTGGGGCTGGCTCCCCTGCTGGCTTGGTGGGGACGCGGGGCTTGCTCCACGCTCAGAGCACTGCATCAAAGTGGGATCAGCACTGGGACCACAGCCTGGGGCTGTGTTGGGCTTCCTTGGGAAGGCTCTCCTCCCAAAGGCCATGAGCAATGTCCCCAGATTCCGGCGTGGAGAGGGGAACCTGATCTATAAGGACTCTGCAACTGCTCCATTTGCTGTATGGAGGCAAAGCTCTAATTTTAAAAATCTTGGTTAAAAGCCCAAGAGTTTCTCATTGCAAATGCATCTAGTTGATACCTTAACGGCTGTGCCATGGAGCCTGCCATCCCTCTGTGCTGCTCGCCATCGTGGGGGATTCTGAGCACACCTTTCCCAGTGAGCCACAAACAGCACCAAACTGCAAATGATAGGAGTGGAAACCACTTTTATCTTTTAATCTCCTTTGCTTTGTAAATCAGGTTTTGTGCCTATTAATTTCTGGGCAGGTGCGTTAATTAAAGTTTGGGTGTGAAGATTGATGACAAAGCTATGTCACACTCCTTTCTCTTGGGAGTTGGCCAGATTCAGCCTGCCCTTGACTATGAGCTTGCTAAAATGCTCTCACAGCAGCCAGGAGAATTTCCTCATCACTTTGGTCCTTTGTTCTCTTCTCCCCAAAGCCTCTGTGGAGTTGCACACTGATAATTAAGGTTTATGCAAACGACAGTCACTTCAGTTACTCATAATAAGTTGTTTGAACAAGAACACCGCAGCAGAAATTTCAAGTGGATGAACATCTTGGAAGGGACGTGGCAGGGTTAAAACTCATGCCTCAAAAGGGGTTTGCCTTCTGCATATTTGTAATAAAGTCAGGGCCACTGGGAAACACTCTTCTGGGCTATGATTTCCATGGTCACCTCAAGGGCCTGCATCCTGTCATCCTCTGTTTCTGTGGAAGTGGGCAGCCACCCTGAATTGTGTAGTGTTGGTGGTGACTTCCCAGCTTCTCCTCTGAGGGCCAGGGCTGGCTGCTGCTGGTGGCCAAGCACTGGCAAAACTCTTCAACTCACACAGCCTCAGCACCTCAGGCTTGGCCTGGGGACTCTTCCAGTCCTTTTCATTGCATACAAGTAAAGAAACACCAATGGCTTTTGTAAATAGCTTTTATAAATCCTGGTGTTAGAGCACAGAACTTGAATGGTAAACCTGAATTATTCATTTGGTTCCTTAAACAAACATCCAGGTGGGTTTTTAACAAGAGCGTTTGTGTCAGGGAGAGATACAGGAAAAATTGTAAGAACAAATTGTCCTGAGGCAGATTTGTGGAAGGGTGCTGGCCTGGCCCTCTCTCCATCCCCTGCTGCTGAATGCTAGCTGCTGTCCTTGTCTGGACACTTCCCTCAAGGAGCATCTCTGTGGAATCCTCATTTAATGGTGCCCGTAACACCAACCACGCTGTTTCTGTCACACAGGGCGATATGGAATGTCTCTTCACTACCTCATTGCTTTGGTCAAACTTATTTTAAGGCTTTTCTTGGCTTGGGAGCCATGTGTCTGTGGGGATGTAGTGTGTGGAGGGGTAATGTGATCTTTTAGTGTTTCACAACTTGGCAGCAGAAATGGGCACTCTCAGCTTGTTTCCCCACGAGGGGAATTTTTAATACTGGCTAAACCCACATGCACTGCTCAATGCTGAGCACGTCATGAAAAAGAGGAAGTTTTGCACATCTGGTAGTGTCTGTCTTGGCAACTGCCACAACACAAACCTGGTGCTCAGTGGTGTGGGACACACAGCACATCTGGCTGCCACATTACACCCTTCAGCATCCCTGGGGCTTGTCCATCATGGCCTTTCAAAATTATCCTTCCTGGCACACAACTCGTTACCTGGATCACCAATGCTGTGGGACTGGATGTGAGAGCAGATGGGATCACACTGTGCCCTTTGGGTGCCTGTTCCCCTGCAGCTGGTGTGGCACCAGCCCTTGCCTGTGCCCTGGCTTCTGCCCTCT